TAAAAGGGTGCAGAGAAGGAGACAAGGATGAAACTTTAGATACGAGGGGGTGTCGCAGATATATTGTTGATCATATACAAGATTGTGAAAAGATTTTAACTCGGCTTGGAGAAGTTCATCTTACATTATCGGGTATGAAGTCCGTATTTGGAGTGCGAGAGGTTGTAATTGTTGGACATTTATGCGGATCTTACGGAAGAAAACCAGATCCGACTAAAGTTGATGCAATTGGAAGGATGAAAGAGGATTGTGGTTCTTTAACAGAGGTTCGCAGGTTTTTGGGTGCATGTGTATTTTATCGAATCTGGATCCTTCATTTTGCTCACATAGCGGATCCATTATATGAACTGTTACGCAAGGGTTACCGATTTGAATGGAAAGAAAGGCATATTCAGGCAATGCAAAGATTGAAGAAATTATTGATGTCACCTCCAATATTGAAGAAGGTTGATTATAAGTGCAATAGACCAGTGATTCTTACTGTAGACGCTAGTCCAATTGCCGTTGGATGGGCGGTGGGTCAAGATGATTCGAATGGGAGTAGATTTGCAGTTCGATTTGGGGCTAAAGTTTTAAGTATTCGTCAGCGTGCATATTCGCAAGTCAAAAGAGAACTTTGGGGAGTCGTTTCGGCTATGAAAGTTGAAAAGGACTATTTGATTGAGGCAGTAGTAGTAATTGAAACAGATTGCTTGCCATTGCTTGGAATGATTATTAATTGTTCGACGCCAGATATTGCGATGTTGAGATGGATTGCTTATATTAAGTCACTAAATCCAGAATTTAAGCATATTACTGGGAAAGACAATTTAGTAGTAGACATGCTATCTCGAGCAAGATACGAGAGGGAAGACAAAATGGTTGAAGACATTGATGACGTCGGATTGAAATTCTATTCAATATCAAATCTCAACAGAGAAGACAAGCTATTTCTTGAAGAGTCTTATGAAGGAGAATTACTAGATATTGGTCTTTACTTGAATACCTTGACTTAGCAGAGGAATTGGTCTACAGAAAAAATTCAAACAAATAAGAAAAAAAGCATATGGATTTTTACTTCGAGATGGATTCTTATGGAAGAGACCGAAGAAAGGAATTGGGATGCCAAAACGAGTGATAGGCAAAAGGGAAGAAAAACTAAAATTATTAAAGGAGTTTCATGATAGTTTATGGGCAGGGTATAGAGGAATCTGGGCTACTTTTGCTAAACTCAAGGAACGATATTGGTGGAAAAATATGTATCGAGATGTGCTCTCATTTGTAGAGTCATGTGAAATCTGTCAATCATATTCTAATATCCGACATCGAGATGGTCTTCATCCTACATATCCTCTGGCTATTCATTTTAAATGGGTTGTTGATTTGGTTATTATGCCGGTTGGATTATGACAGATGAGATATTTGGTTTTAGCTCATGAAGATTTATCAAATCAAGTAGAAGGAAGAGCATTGAGGACAAAATCTACAGAGGAGATTTGTAGGTTTTTGCTTGAAGATGTCATTTGCCGCTACGGATGCGTGGAAAAAATCACTGCAGATCGTGGAGAATTAAATGCGCAAGAAGCTCGTAAGTTCTTTGAAAGATGTGGAGTTAAACTATCACTGACTACTGCTTATAATCTAGAAGGGAATGCAAAAAGCGAACGCGGTCACCCACCGATTGTGAAAGCATTGGTTAAAGCTTGTAATGGGAAAGTTAAAGAGTGGCCACGGCTTTTGTCATTTGCATTATGGGCTGATCGAACAACACATAGTTCGGTGACAGGATATATGCCAGTAGAACTTATGACAGGTCAAAAACCAATTATGTCGATTGAAGAAAAGGTACTTACTTGGAGTATGCTACCATGGGAAGATGGATTGACAAGAGAAGAACTTCTGGCTATTAGGATTCGACAATTGGAGCAAAGAACGGAAGATGTCCAGATAGCATTGGAAAGGTTAAAAAGAGCAAGGTTACAAAACAAGGCGCGATTCGATAAGCAACATCGATTGAGACCAAAAGCAATCGAGGAAGGTGACTGGGTACTTGTTTATGACAATAGTCTAGATAATCAACATAGTACTTTGCGGAAATTTTCAAAACGTTGGTTTGGACCATATGTTGTAACAACTGTTCATGATAATGCGACTTACTCATTACGGGAGTTAGATGGTACAAAATTGAAAATACCAATTGCAGGGAAGCGAGTAAAAATATTTAAACGAAGACATGCAGAGATGAATATGGAAGACCTTAATAAAGGTACAGAGATTCCGCAGCAAGAAGATGAAAGTGATATGGATAATGAAGGTAACGAAGTCAAACTGGACAAAGACGTAGGGGATATATTCTGAATCAAACAGCAATTGGGTAAATTGGTGCATACCGGAGGATGCACAGGTTCAGAGGGGGTGGATGTCGTGTTGTAACACGAGTATACAGTGAAAATAAAAAGAAAGGGGAATTTTATTAATATTCAGTTACCTCGAATATTGGGAGCATCGACCAACTCCAGTACAAATACTGAGTGGTCAGGTTCAGTCACTCCGTTACAGTCAGCCGAGGCATACTGAAATGCCTCGTTCGATTCCAATAACGGGAGTCAGCAGGAAGAGAAGGACCAATTCACACGACGGATTCGAGGAGCCAATATGATCCAATTCCGATAATCCAATTCGGGTCCTCTTATCCAATATGAGACCTGAATTGGCCGTTCAACCTAATGCAGTCTAATTACAAGGAATCCAGGTCTTACTACGGGTCTTAGCCAATCTGACGCGAAGACCAATTTGACCCAATTACGGGAACATCCAGGTTACTACGGGCATCTTTCCCAATATAGGACCTGAATTGGTCGGGCGACTCAATGTGGTCCCGATTACGGGGTTCGATTCTGTTTGAGGCTATCCTGTTCTCTATGCCGTTTCAGGAATTGTTATTTTCGGTAAATGGATTTCTTAAAGATAAAAACGGAGGAGAAAGCTTGAGGTGGGAGCCAATTCCGGATCTAAGACGGAAGATTGAAGAAATTCAGAGGATAAGGTTAGGGGGGAATCGGGGGGGGAAGCTAGTTTTCAAGCTTTTGCAAGGTTACCAGTTCGGGTTTCATTGGAGGTTTTTGGAAGATCAAGGGAATTAGAGAGAGGAGCTTCATGCTTCGAGTCGAGGGAAGGAAAGACATAGAATTTGGATTTTTCTTCTTCGTAGAGATTTGGGAAGACTGAGGCAATCGCTGCTGAAGTCAGTGTTGTAATGGCGAATCGGGATTTTTAAATGAAGTGGATTTGAATACTCTTGACTGTTTTGTAAAATCTAGTTACGTCTGTGATTGAAGGATTAAAGGGGTGCCTATAGGATTGAGTATGCGGAGTGAATGAAATTTATTGGGTTAATCTAACAGGACAGTTAGTGGATACAAGATCGTAAGTACAAAGGGGTATTGAAGATTAACAGTTTGGGTTGTTCAGGGTTCTCTGTAACGTCTAGAGACCTATCGGCTGGGGCAAAAAAAAAAGACTTCGACAAGTAGTCGAAGAGCATCCGTATAGATTTACGGTACATTGTTGCAGCCGTTTATATTCCAGCAGTCAAAAACTGATAGACTGCTTGACTATCGGCGAATCTCCATACTACCTTCTACAGCCAGACGCCCAGCGCGTTCTCGAGCAGGAAAGCACGTAATACGACAACGTCTTAACTTATAAGGCAAGTTTTCTATGTGTGGGCTACATATTTAGCTTATCCTTCAAGCTATCAATATGTACAGTACATGGCCAATGTATTGGCTAAGTTTCTAACCTTAAAATTTAATTAAAGACACATGTAAAGTCAAAATAGCATCTATGAAGCTTCTATAGAAGATATTATGGAATTGACCTACTTTTACTTATTATTATCTAAATCATATAAGTAATTATTGGTTTATATATGTATGTATGTGATAGGTTGTTACTACGATTGTAATTAAGCCTTTTGAATTGGTATTTGTGTGGTGTTACTTGGATTCAAAGAGAAGGTCAATGGTCCTTGTTTTTTTCTTTCTCTTTGTTGTTCATGTGGTTGGTGGCTACAATAGTTTGCAATAATTAAAAAAAGAAGTTTGCATTGAATCCTTTTATACTCAAGGTCATTAAAATCTAATAAAAATGTGAATATCTAGATTTATTATTTTTTATATTGCTTTGTTTATTGTGAATAATAGACGTCATAAGACATATGCTTAATTCGTTAGAATCTTAGAAGATTGTGTATCATTGGAAGGAAGGATTGCAACGTGATGTCAAGATTCTTAGAAAGATTTTAGGTTTAAAAGGCTTTCAATTAGAATTTGAAGGAATTAAAATTTTGGATGAAAATTTATTTGGTGAGGTTTTAATCAAAGATGAAATTAAATCATGGATGAAGTATATAGATGAAATATTATTTGAGGATGAATAGATATTCAAGGATGAATTTTTATTGATGAATGAATATTAATTTAAAATAAAAATAAAATAAAATAATATTAACAATGATTTTTAATTACATGGAATTTTTTAGTGACTTATCATTGTAAGTGTGAATTTTGCTTGACTACTTGGGTGATTTAATGAGGTTAAAGAGAGAATTAATCTGGATTAAACAAGAACTATAAATTCTAAAATTTATATAATTAATTCACTTGTTGAGAATTAAAATAAATTTCCAACTAGTGGAAGCTTATTTTATCTCACATATAAGTAGAAAGGTTGAGATTGATCTCTCTACGGCTTTCCATAGGTTCTCACTTCTAAAAATAACCCTCATTTTCATTTTCCAAACATGATAGTTAGTAAGCCCCTAGATCTTGTTGGACTCACCCACCGTCAGATCAAGGCGGTCTTCCATATTCTATGATGACTGCTAGCCTAGCCTCTCGAGATAATCTGCGGCCAGCTGTGATCACAATGCGAGAAGAATTAGCTGTCAGTACTCTCAACAATACTACGCTGTTGATCTCTGAAGTGTGATCGTTTACTCTTGTGAGATTCTCATATAAAGCTCGCAGAACCTGGCCTCCCGTCAGGACTCAAGATTCGCTCTGACACCATGTAAACAATAAGCTTTATTTCGAGAAGATACAAGTTCTCGCTTATACGCAATTGCGATTCAATGTACTGCCTCGTAGTGGCTCTAATGGTTTTTCAGTGCAGTTAGACTTTCGTTTACTGAAGTTTGTCCTCGCTATATAGACGAACTCTGTCCATTCATACCTCCTGATGAATATAACACAGAGAGAAGAAAGGTGCTTTGTTCATTTCCAACAGGATCATCAGGATAAGAAATTGACTAATCGGTATCTCTTAACCTTGCGGGAGGACTAGTTTTCTTGGAAATCAATTAGGCAAACTCTCACGGCGACTTCATCTACAGAGGCAGAATACTTTGCGTATTCTATAGCATGCAAGGAGGCTCTCAGGTTACGGGCATTACTTCAGTAGTTGTGCTATACTTTGCTTGATGTTTGTAGCTGTGCGATATGAGGCTTATCCAGCGATGGCGAAGAGCATATCCTTGGTAAGCAGGAGCTACCACCTAGCGCGAGTGCGACTGCAATCACTGGGCAGTAGGGTTAGGGTAGCGAGACTGCGTAGCTTGCACATCACACGTGAAATCGACACTTCTCTGGATCCTGTGAAACTGATCTGCTCGCAAGGTTTGGCTAAAGTTATCCATAGGCTTCCTTATCCGATAACTTATCGAGCTTGATCAGGAGCTTGTGCATCATAAGCTTCAAGTCAGCATGTTCTTGGGTGTATGCGTGTGGATTTTTGGAGTTGGATTGTTAGCATGAGTATCAGTCTTGAATCTTGATGTTTATGTACTTCAAGAGGGCCTAATGAAAGGATTCCGGCCAGAGAACTCTGTGCGAGTGAAGTTTCTAGATGAATCCAGGCGCTGTATTGAATCCTGTCGCGGAGACAAGGGCCTGGAATCTTCACATCTTTTGTTCACACAAGCAGAACATTTGTTCCAGCGTCCAAATCTTTGAGCAGTTGTCAGTAATTATCAACCTTCGCTGTTATTCTCTTTCTTCTTCTCCTTCTTGGAGTCGAGACATGACAAACACCTTGTATCATATAATACCCCAGGAAGCTGGAATTATATGATCATTTGGAGTTCGGGGAAGTAGCCTGTCTCCAGCCAGGAGACAAATCGGTTTCTCTGAGCTGTTATTGCCGAACTATCCTGACAGAGATGACGAATCATTAGTAGCATCAGCATAGCAAGGGTCCTAGACCACTCACAGTCCCACACTGCTGATAAATTCAAGTCAACTGATGTGCTCAAGACTGTGAGGTGGGACACTCCGGGGTCGCTGACGTCGGTTAAAGATTGGATCGACCATTGCATTCCTTGGATTGTCTCTATCCTATAACAAGAGAAGCATTGAAGTGACGTCCAACTGTGATCTAATAGGAGTACAGTTATCTGACAGAGAAACTCACTTCGTTCGATTGTGTGAAGTAACCAAACTGAGCAGCAATCGTCTTTAGCTATCATTGAGAGCTCAGTACATAACCGTCCCAGGCTTCTTTTGGCGGGATTTTAAACCGAATTAAGAGTTGCAACAGACCAATTGCCAGCATCCACAACTCCTTACCTGCATGGCTCGAAATCGGTTGAAATACGTTAGGGTTGGCCACTATAGTTCTGTTCGGGCATCCGCAAGGGACCCATAACCAACCTTAATGAGTAGTTGCTATCGCTACGACTAGCAGCAAATTCTTACACATCTTCCTCAGCACTCGAACCCAGACAACGCCACTGTAATCTGATCATCAGCTCTTCAACGACACGCGCCTCGCAACCAGAGAGCATCAAAGTAGCCTCTGCAGAGATGTCCTGAAACCCTATTCTGCTGCCAATATCATGTGCCTCACATACAAGCAAAATTCAATGTGGACGCGGACAAGGACAACCCTGCCGGTCAGAGACTCCTCATCGGTAACACGTTAGAGAAGCTGACAATCACAATGCGCAACGGCTACTTATCCCACCAAGTTGCCAACGTCCCTCAAGTAGTAACAGTCGAATTTCGAGCCATCTGCACGCATCTCGTTCTCGCCAGCGCCGAAACCCACCTCGCCATCGACATGGCTCTGCTGCACTCACGTTGTATAAGCGTCGATCAAACGAAGCTTTGGGCCCATGCTCATCATCTGGAGCAGCCAGAAAGTTCCGATCGGGGACATCAATCTCTCTAATAACATCCAATTTACTAAGAACGTGGATCTGAATTGAGTTTTTAACAAATTGAATGTTGTAAGAGAGAGAGATTGTGTCGGTTTCATCAACATCAAGATAAAGATTCTACAATCAAACTGAAGTATAGCATCAGAATTAGAAACGTGTTTTACAAATGGTTGACAAGAAAATGAGCAAGCATGGTAGATGGGCTAAGAAAAAGCTCGTAGACGTAGGTATAGATTTTTAGTACAAAATTAGCTATTTCATATGTAATTAGTTGTTTTCTATTTTAACATCCAATTTTGAATAGAGACGCTGTTTGCGTGAATATATCTTTTTAAATATTTGGACTCAAATCGACATAAGCTGTTACCTTAACTTTTACAACGACAATCAAATCTCTTGTTAACAGTTTATGTTATTGTTCTTGTTGTTGTTACATACATACTAGTAAATTCTTTCAGGCCCTTGCTTTGCAAAACATTACTAGATATATAATGATGTTAAATAAGTGAAGTAACAAACTCCACCACAACTACATGATTAGAATTTATAGCTTATATATATATATATATATATATAGATATATAGATTCAACAATTCATTTTAAATTATGTTGATAATTACATATATGATTTTAAATTAGATTTCATAGATTTCTAGAAAATAATGATTTTTTTTGTAATTTTTCTATTTCTGTATTATTAATAGGGGAATTTTCAAACAGAGGAACATATCTGAAAGTGTTTACAAATAGGAGAACAATTTCATTTTTTGCTTGCTTTAACTGTTGGTAAGCAATGTGACACACCACTTTTTTTGACTTCAATTGCTCATTGCTCTACAACTATCTTTGAAAAATTATATCTGCAAAAGCAACATTTTGAAGAGTTGCTAATTTCAAACTTGAAATATTTACAATTGCAATAAACTTTCCAAAAATGATGTGCAATTTTGTTTTTTGCAATGAAATACTATAAAGAAAAGGTTTTCTTTAATGACTATAATTCTGCCATAATGGTTCTAAACCCTAAATCTTAAACCTGAAACCTGGTTTGCCATAAAGCAAAAGAAAACCTATTTCCCTAAATTATTACTTTTTCATCTTATTATGTATTTGTTATTATAGTCAATATAGAATAGCATAAATAAATATATATAAAAAAATGAGTAAGATTTGCATCAGTTTTTATTCTCCTAAAAATTGTTACTTACATAAATAAATAATTTGGCTGTTCATAATTTTTTTTGCTTAAGAATAATATTCTACAAAGGATTTATTTAATTAATGTTACTAATGAACTTAACCAAAAGTTCAAAAGTACAATGTAACAATGAATTTTATTTCTTTATTTATTTATTTTAAAATTATTCTGACTTAGTAGAGTACAAAGTTCGACGCTAACAGATTTCTGAATTATTTTATTTTATTTTATTATTATATATTTTTGTCACATGAGGCTTCAAAGGGCGGAAGTCATCAGTGTTGGTCCCTCGTAACAAAAGGGTGGGACAGGGAGCAAGAATTTCGAAGATCTGGGGGGGGGGGGGGGGGGGGGGGGGGGGGGGGGCAGCGGTCATGGGATCACGACCCCGTCGGAGCGCGGGAAAGGGGGTACCACGGAATCAGGAGGGGCTGGTCTGCCACGACCTCGATGGGGGTCTGGGGACCAGCTGGATTCGGACCCAGATCGCAGGGGCGCCCAACGCCATCTCCGGTGCTACAAAATCCCCCCCCCCCTCCCCCGATCGAGAATTTTCAACCCAACCGAGAATTGCATGGCGGCCTATATGCACCAAATCACGCCGCGCCTTGGGTCCCAGCTGCCTTCCAATCGATCCCTTCATCCATCAATCGAGTTTGCTGCCCCAATCGCGCTCATCAGCGTTTCTTTCCTGCAAGTTATGTAGCAATTGATTTGCCTCTGAGGCAGCCAGCGAGCGAGTTCGAGAGAGAGCGCGAGTTCGAGTGAGAGAAAACGAACACGAGCCATTTGCCATCCCTCACGTACCTCGCACGATCGCTCCCTTTGCACAGTGGGGCTGGGGTCGGTCGTCGTTGCACTGTTTCTAGTGGACTTTGCTGGTCGTGTGTCATGTGACAGGCGGCTGCGCCACATGCAGAAGAGTAATTCTATTATTTCTGTGGAATTCCAGTAAAGCTTACAGTGGACCAGCTGCAGAGTCAGGTAGGCAGGTAGACAGACAGACAGATAAGGAGATACAGGAAAAAAAAAATGAAGGGTGAGAGTGTGTGTGTCTGGGGGTGTATTTGGGGTGTGGGCCCTGAGTTAGAGCTCGGTTGCACGTGAGTTATTATGAATTGATTCGGTCAACTGGACAGAATTTTATGCAGCGTTCCTGCAAATTTGGTCGCAGCAATTGCCGTCGATGACAAGGAGAAGAAGCCGAAATATTGATGGAAGTGGGTTTTTGGTTCAAATCCGCTTTTTCTGTTTGTTGCTTCCTTCCCGCCGGCGATTTGTGTTGAATTGCCTCGACCCGCGGGTGTGACATGTTCTGTGTTATGTATTTCCGTTTTGAGGCCCAATTGTTGATGGCGGGTACAAATTTTTAGCCGCAAGAGTCGACACTTGGCTACTTAAAGTGGTCGGGACGAGAAAAAAAAATGTAGTTTGGGTCTGACAGCCTCCCGAAGTTTGTCTTCCAGATAGGTTTCACTTTTCGCGCTTGTCGGAAATACCAAGGTGTATTCCAGTCTTCCAAATTCGTAGTAGCAACACCATCGCTGCTTAGTTTCTCAAGTGTTCCCCTTCTTCTAGAGCTTCTCCAAGCCAAAAGAAAAACAAAAAAAATAAATAAATAATAATAATTCTCCATTGCCCGAGTACTTGTGAACACTAAAAAAAATGATCGTCAAGGTTTTTGTGCATTAGTTCCCTTGGTACTTTTTTTCTGCGTGACCGCTGACATCAAACTGCTGGAGCACCAAATCACCTCATGGCAGAAACGACTCTACTTGTCAAGCTTTACGTACGAGCTTTTTGAAGATTCAAATGCGCAGATCGCCAATGTTGATGCTTCAAGTTTGATACTCAGTCTGTAAGAGAGTAGCAATCAGGTAGCAGCACACCTATGCATCTTTAAGCAATAAAAAAATGTTGCTTGTGTCAACAACAGCACTGACTTAGCTGAGTCACTGGTTGTCGCTTAGCTTAGCGCAGTGATCGAAGCTTCGCTTTGCTGGGCTTCATTAGAAAGGGCGTTCGAGTGCTTGTGCGCTTTGGAGTTCTTCTCTTCGGTCCTCTCACCTAAATAGTAGTCAAGTCCTGGGCAAGATAGTGTGCGTGTAGGGCGCTTGACCCTGCGGAGACGTGGAATAAGATTTGTAGGAGGTCTGTCCAATTTAAGCTCCTGTCCTCCTCGAGAACTTTTCTGTTTTTAGTATTGCAAGTGAGGTTGCTCAAAGCTTTTGTGTCCATCTGGACACGTTCCATGAATTTCCGCAGCCTCCCTTTCCCTCTTTTGAAGTGGCCTGCCAAACTCACTTCTCTCCCAAGCTCTCCTTTCTCATGCAAGTATTAAGTTACCGAATGCCGTAATCGGCAGTGAACTTCCAGAAGAGAGTCGTTACCTTAGTGGCGTCATCTTTCTGCCATTCATACTGCGAAAAATCTCAACAGATTGAATGCGAGATCTCATCGTGTCGTTTTGTTGCTTCATTCAGAAATTCCTTCGTCGAAACCCCACAGTCTGCTTCGTATGAGAAGCTCCAAATTTAGACGATTCTCTTCACCAACAGACCCATACCACCCAGGGCCTTCAAGAAAATATTTTGAGTCAAGTTTGCACTCGTTGCTCGACATTATGTGGCCAGTTCTTATTAAAATAGACGTCTCTAGTTTTTGAAGGGGACTGGGTCAAGCTACAGGTTTTTACACATTATAGGTGAACATTTATCCATCCTTGGTTACGGTTACATGTCAAAGTCTGCAGCGCCTGAGTTTCCAAGAATTCTCTTCCTTCTCAGTGCGCCTTTTGCCCCTGTGAGCACCTAGAGCGTGGTTGCACGAACTGTTACTACTGTTTCAACGTCCAGCCAACCTGGTCAGCGTCCTTTTTTATTTGGGGGGTGGGGGCGAGGGGGATGCCTCAGTGTAGACACCAGCAAGCGTCGCTTCCTTGCTGAGGCTAATGCGAGACGAAGAGAGGCAGAGACCTCACATGGAGTCAAAATCATATTATTAATAACGACAGTTGCTTCCATTTTTGTGAGTCATCTTGTCTGATGTTTCTCAAGGTTTGTCGGAGTTCGGCGGCGGATGAAGATGCTCACAGAGGGAGTGACAAGAGAACCATGCTAAGCTTACGGAATCCTTTCCAAATCCAAACTCGGAAGGATCCAAAGGCTCTGAATGGCGGCCCTCCATTGCACAATAAGTCCTCATCACGTGCCAAGGTCACTAACAATTCTTCGAAAAGGGGTACATCACACAGTGGAAGGATTGGTGCACGGAAAGAATTTCTTAAGGTGACCACTCAGGGGCTTGGAACCCAAGAATCTTACAGTAATTTAGAGAACCTTCCTTCGCTCGAAGTTTCCTACAAGAGTTTCAAGCAGATGTATCCTAGGTTTTCTGAAACTGTTGCGGTGGATCGGCTCCGGGAGCGCGAATATGGACATTTGGCTGAGAGGGAGCATGCGTGCTTTGATTACAGTGGATTTGGCCTTTTCTCGCATTGGCAGCAGGTGGGTCACCTTGTAATTGATCGATTCTGCCCACCCACAGTTGAAGTTGTTTACTGTTTGAAGGTAGACTCGCAGAGATTGTGTAAACCAGTTTTTGAAGTGAGCCCGTTTAATCTTGGGTGATTATAATCGTAATATTTTCTACATCGAGTGACATTAACGGATCTTGTTCCCAAACATCATTTCAAAGACCGAGCATAATCTTGTTTGTGTTCAGGTGTTTCAAAGAGAGAGTTCTTTATTTAACCTGGCTTACATCTCTGCCAGTCTTCCAACTCACGCACTTTACGGGACAGCACAAGGCACAGTGGAAGCTTACATGAAAAAAAGAATCATGAATTATATGAATTTGAGTGATTCGGATTACAGCATGGTTTTCACAGCAAGCCGGGTAACGGCATACAAGTTGCTGGCCGAGTCCTACCCCTTTCACGTGAATAACAGATTGTTGACAGTCTATGATTACGAGAGTGACGCTGTTAGTTCCATGGTTGAGACAGCTAAGGAAAATCGGGCTAAGACCTTGAACGCATCATTCAAGTGGCCAAACCTAAAAGTAGCTGCTGCTGATTTGAAATATAAGCTACAGGACAAGAAAAAGAAGAAGGATCAAACTGCTAAGGGACTTTTTGTTTTTCCCGTTCAGTCTAGGGTCACAGGGGCAAAGTATTCGTACCAATGGATGTCTCATGCACAAGCTAACAAGTGGCATGTTTTATTGGATGCCTCTGCGTTAGCTCCCAAGGATATGGATTCGCTTGCCCTTTCTTTATTTCGCCCCGAATTTGTAGTCACGTCATTTTATAAGGTATGTTTTAAACGACTTGTGTTCATCGTCTAAGAGAGGCAACAGAAAGAATCTTAGTCGATTTCCTCACGGCTCGTTTGACGTCTTCTACTCTTCTATTTCATTACTCTTCTCATAAGATTTTCTAACTTTAGACACAGTTGACATCTTCCTCATGTTATGACACGAAGGGGTTTAGCGGGTTTGTGGTGCTCACAGTGTCATGTTGTTCTCAGTTCAATTTTGATCTTTTGAACAATCGTCTTAATTTGTTTCAGGTTTTTGGGGCTGATCCAACAGGCTTTGGATGTTTATTCATACATAATTCTATTATTCAAGGTCTACATAATTCAGATAGTGCACGGAGTGTGGGAATGGTTCGAATACTTCCGTCAGCAATGTCGAATGTACAACTGGCGGGAGGTGAGGAACAACTAGAAGATCCGGAGCGGTTGCCTGACATTCATGAGATGGATGCGGAGGAGTATTTGGATGCAGCTGATTATGTAGAACCTGTGAGTGCTTTTTCTGGTCCAATGAGCCAATTTTATGTAGACAGCGTAAGAGAGGCCATTTTTGACAGGATCACAGCTTCTGGTAGAGAAATGAACATTGCAGGATTTGATGATGCTTCTGGGCGAACTTCTCATCCCTCCGAGAATGAAGATGAGTGGGATGATCGGTTGCATGGAGAAAGCTACCGTGGAACAGGGAGTGCGAGAAATGACGAGGATTTTGGCCATCGAGATGTTTTTTGTGGAAGAGGTATAGTCCACTTGATCGACCTTCTGAATTCTGTGTGCAGTTACATTATGCCTTGATGAGGCGCCTCATTCCTCAAGAATCATGCTTAAAAAGAAAACAATATCTGACACTACAATGCTTCGAGTTCATATGTAATGTTGATTCTGCATGGACTCAAGTAACTAGCTAACCCGCGTTCTGTAATTGAGTTCTTATTGTCATAGTGCATGTTGCAATATTGAGTTAGAAAAAGCAGAATCTTGAAAAGATATGATTATTGAGTTGGAAACGCAGAATCTGGAAGCCGTGAGATAGAGGAGGAACCCTCGGAGCCCATCTTCCCACTGACTCGAAGATGGCACAAATCTGAAGGACATGTTGCAGCTCCTATTAAAGGACGTGATGCAAACTCCTCACAGGAAACGGAAGAGTTCTCTTTTGATGTCGCTAGAGATTCAAATACAGAAACTATGTATGATGGTGACAGGGTTTTGAGGATACATGATGATGCTCTGCCCTCCGAGGAAGATAATAGTCGCTTCCTGAGTAAGATCCAGGAGGAAGAATCTGATGAATATGACGTCTCTCCTCCACACCCAGAAGTTTCACTAGGAGCCCTTGATAACCAGACTGGTAAGAGCCTCCTCTAACCCGCTCATGACACTTCTCATAAAATTCGGTTTTGGTAATCCACCTAGTGAGCTAAAATTAATTGCACAGCTTTGGTGCAGCTAATACGAAACACAGACTGTTTGTTAGACTCATGCAATACCTATTATATCCGAGATTATGCGTCCCGATGGTGGCACCGGACTTTAGATTTGGTTGAAAGTGATCGTTAATTAAAACCATGTCCAATCCTCCCAACACTTGGATTTGTCAGTTTGATTGTTACCAGCTTTAAGCTTTTAGGCGATGCATGTGACGAGATGTCTGGCTCCCTGCTGCTCTGACCAATTACTGATCGCAATTATTGATTGTAAATAAATTTTGCAGGTGGAAATGGGTCACATACAACTGGCAGTCCTGTTTTCCATAGTCCGTCTGAGTCTACCAATGAGTTTGATAACAGAGCCGACCCAGGCTTACAGGAGTCTGATCATAAACCGGAAACAAACATGAATGAGAAAAAAATTGGAGCAATGTCAGAAACTGACAAACTAGAGACGAGCATAATGTTCAGGGATAACCATGATTACGCATTAAGAGAGGGAAGAGATGTAGATAGTTTCTACGGAGAAGAGAGAATGCCAGCTGCCGATCTAGAAGAGTCCAATGGATCAAGCCATTTTCTAGGTTCTAGTGGTGCAAATGGGCGGCGCTTGGAATCGTGGAGCCCTGGCGAGGTGAGTCTTTCTGAAGCAACGATCGTTGAGATGTGACAACGCATTTGAGCTGTCATTTGAGCTGTTGAGATGAAAAAAATAAGTTCAAATCAATTCGCTTGATATCAATATTGTATATTGCACATTATCAATTTCACGGGATTATACGATAGATCTTTTGATTTTAAAATTTGCCGAAAGAACTTGCAGGGTAGTAGCCTGTGGGAAGCTCAATATGCAATGTCAGAGGATGGATCCCCCACGTACCTCGATGATGACCTTAGAATCATGGAGTCGAGCAACGCTGACATGCTTGACGAAGGACCTATGGTGTGCAGCGGTTTAGACCATGCCGATTCACAGGGCCTTAACAGAACCAATCTTAGACTAAGGTGGGGACATCTAAAACTTGGTCAGAAGATGTTCGCAGCTTCCTTTAGAACCTGAAGGTTTCTTTTATCTGCATTCTCCGTTTTGTTAAGAATTTCACTCTTGTACTTTAGTTTATTTACAACTTTTTTGTCATGCATGGGAATTAGAGCTTGTATGCTGCTGTCTCTTTGCACTCTGCCTCTGAAGATGTTTGCAGAAATCGGGGTGCAGTTTTGACGCTTGCAAGTTTATTTTTATATTTATTATATTTTTCGCAACAAGCTCACTCCGCTTGTTTGGTTTAGAGTTTATCATCAATGTTAGTTTTGGTTGGTGAAACAGATTCTTAATAAATTGGCTAATCAACGCCCTTCTTAGACTACGACACCCGACGCAGGAGACGAACCTGGTGCACATTTACGGACCGCAAGTGCGCTTCGACCGAGGTCAAGCGTTGGCATTCAATCTATTGGACTTGAATGGCATAGCCATCAGAGCAGAGCTTGTGCAGAGATTGGCTGATAAAAACAACATCTCGTTGGGTCTCGGCACACTTTGCAACATTGTCTATCCCGAAGGCTCGACAGATCATGCTGTACGCCACTTTATCCCCTTCTTATAATCCTCAAAATAACATCCAAGTAATGTCACATTTTTATGATAACATTCCTGAAAAATGTATTAATTTTGTTTGCAATCGGTCCTTTTAAACGCAAAAGAAACTAACGCAAATAACTTCACTCAATATTCACACAAGGACTTTGGTAACTCAGACAGTCAACGTATCTGTGTTGATTCACGGACAGTGTGAACTTACAAAAAGGCATAATACGCAGACACAGTTTGTTGGCCTGATTCAGGGTTCACGGTTGAAAAAACGTGCTGAGGGTGGAGGCAACGAGGCAGGAGGTAAAGTGGACCCTACTCCTCCTCCTCCTCCTCATGCTTCAAACGCCACCAAGCACGACCGCCCTTTGGAGATTCCAGTTGTGACTGCAGCTCTAGGCTTTGTGTCCACATTTGAGGATGTTTATAGGTTATGGGCTTTTGTGGCCAAATTTTTGGATGCCGGTTTTGTTAAGCGAGAGGAGTGGCAACAGCATTCACTTAACCAAGAGATTCAAGCTCTTTAGGAGCTTTATATTGAATGCTCAGAAGCAGCAGAAGCAGATGAATTACTATTAATTTCTTTGTGACAGTTGTCTTGATTATGAGTCATCTCTTTGAAAGGTGCTTTCTTTGAGTGTCTTCACATGGTGATCCTAGTTTATAGATTGAAGTGGGTGTCATGGTATTCCATACATGATGTTTCAGGCTAAGTTGAATCTTCACCCTCAGTGTAACCACCATTGCAATTAAGCTTGAATGGCAAGTTTGTGACTCATGGTTTTAAATCAGGTGTGTTAGGCCTCTTGAAGTTGCCTCTGTCATTTTGTGTGTGATTTTCTATTAGTTAATCTCGTACTTCGCTCATGTGAAACTATTCGCAATGTTCGCCTGATTCTCCTTCATGAAAAACCTTTTAATATCCTCACTTGTTTATTTATTTATTTGGTTTTCTGAGTGAGTTTTTTGTTTGCAAAAATAACTCGTTGTCAAGATATTGTTTTCTATGAAATTGCAAATTTGTACGTAAATATCAATTGATTGTTTATCGATGGGTATTGATAATTAACATATTTTAAAAAATAAAACAAATAAAACCGTATGGCCCTTATAATTGATGTCTTTGTTTTTTGTTCTAAAAGAGAAAAGAAAAGTTTATCAATATAAATATTTTAAAACATTAAAATATTAATGAGAAGATATAAGATGAATTCTAATATTTAAAATTTGTTGTAATTAATCATAGTATAAATTATATTTAACATCCAAATATTCAAATATAATGTTGTAATATTTTATAATTAAATAGATTTGATTCTTTATTTTAAATTAATTAATTTTGAAATTACACAACTAAAGATTGTCATATTTGTATATTGAATACTTAGTTTCAACATGTTCTAAACTCGTTGAATACTTAATCGTTCATAGATTTTATTAATATTATCAAATTATAAAATTGATTTTATAAATTATCATTTTTTTTAAAGATATTATAGATAATTTTTTTTTAATATCAATTATTGCAAAATAATTTATTAATTATCTAATTTTATTAATTATCAAAACACCAAATAAAATAAGATAGTTGGAATTGGTTCACAAAGTTTTGATCAATTATTAAGGATGATGAGTTTTCAAAAAATTAATTCTTAAGGAGACAATAATATATTTATTTATTAAAATAAATATAACTATTAAAAAATATTTTTTTTACAAGCATGCAGACATTACATATAAAACTTTTGATCACATTTTAGGATCTACAAGAATCAATTTTTAGAAAGATTAAAAAAAGATCTTCAAAACTTGTAAATAAATAATTTATATACACAAATTTTTTTAATATATATAATAGAAACACTATACTAATTTAAATTTTTATAATTTATTTTACTTATAAAAAAATTATGATTTTACTTCAATTATATTTTTATTTTTTAATTTATTCAAAATTATCATAAAACGTGAAAATAAAATATTTTTAATATTATATTATATTATTTACATATATACATAATAAAAATTATATTAAAAATATTTTTTATAAGTTGAAAGAAAAATAAATAAATTAATTAATTAATAATGTTAAATTTTAACTATTGATATACAAATGTATCAAAGACATAAATTTTAAAGAACTAAAAGATCAATAAATTCTTGTTTCACTCAAAAGACTAAAAAATCACTCAAAGATGGTATAATATTAAACTAGAATAATTATTGCAAAAAACAAGAAGATTAGAAAGTCTTAAAACAAGACTAAGGACTAAAAAGGTGTTGACAAGAATGAAGTAGGCTTTACTCTTGCCTCCATGTGAATTATCTAACTAGAAGCTACATGGCAGTGTTGTCAAATGGCATGATTTGCAATTTGGGAATACACTAAGTACCTAACTGTAGAGAGTTTAGCTTTGGCTTATATATGATGTCTTATCTCCCAAAAATCCTTTTATATTATACAAAAGCTAAAATTATAATAAAATCCTTTAGAACATTTTCTCTTCGCAAAAGATGTTTTTACCATGAACTTTGGAAATTTATATTTTTTGATACAATTGTTCAATTTTTTTCAAATTTCTATTTAACAAAGATTCTATCCTTAAGCTTTATCACAAAAAAATGAACCGTAAATCTATTACCAATCTTTTGGTATCTTTGAAATCGTAACATGTGCTTTAAACCCTAATTTATAAGCACCCAAAAACTATTTTCCTTATATCTCAAAAATCCAAAACCCAAATGCTACAAAATTTGTATATAAAGTTTACTAACATGATTACACATACTTTAGAAAAAATTTAGCCAAAATCTTCTCAAATTGCTCAAACTATACATCAAAATACAACCACTAGTGAATTACTACCCTTAGATTTGCAAGCACTGATTTCAACCTCTAATATCTCCTTCATCCTAACTTGGAATCCATCAAACAATATGCCAAAATTGTAGTTGAGAAAGTGCTCTCTCCAACCTTAGTTGCCAATCCTCTGTTGCTTTGTGTATGCGTGCGTCATACCCAAAAGAGTGACAATAGGTACAAAATCAACATCTCGACTTTGAGCGCCTATATCTCCTTCATAAAAACTCCAATTGACTCAAAATTTGCACCAAAACGATAGCCAAAAACCTAAACTTATTGATCCTAGCCTCCAAAAGCTTGAATGGCTCGAAAGTATAACCCTAATTCCTAATATGGCCTCAAGAAGCCTCCTTGAAGTCCATTGGTCATGATTTTTGACCAATAGGAATGGAGATTTTCATCATCCGTTTCCATTCATCTATATGGATGCCCTAAACTCTCTTTTTGCCACCAAAATCCCTCTCAAACTCTTTTTTTTACAAGATTTACACAATATATGCCCTAAACACCATGTAAAATAAACAAAATAAGACTTTAAGGGTCACCAATATCTAACAAAGGTGACTCTAAATATTTAAAACTTACTACTAATAAGATCAACTTCAAAGTCACTATCAAAAGAAAATAAAGTTATATAAATTCTAATAGAAGCCCTTTTAAACAACCTCTTTTTGAAGTAGTAATCTATCCACATCTTATAACCAACCAAAATCCATTAACATGGCTTTCACCATGTTGTCTAGTATATTGTGTATTAAATATATAAACACATTATTTTTACATGGTAGTTGAATTACAACACAATGGTGTTTTGTAAGATCTTCAACATATATCCAATTTGATAGACATGTATCTTAACTTGCAAGGCAAGTTTCATATATGCATGCCACATCGTTTGCTTATATTATTAGCTATTGACACATACAATATATATGCCTAACTTGTTGACCAAATTTCTAACCTACCAATTAATTATAAACATATATAAAGTCAAATATATGTCTATAAAGTTTCTAAGAAGCTTTGTCACAAGATAATATCAAATCTACTTATATTTATCTTCTACCTAACACTTATTATCTAGGTAAATATGAATGTCCATGACAAAATGTTACAACTATGCAATAAAAAAAGACCTATGACATTCCTAACCATGCTTGATGGATTCCAATACAAAAATAATATATTAATAAATAAAATAGAACTATGTTTTCTACCGTAAAAATGTAAATAATCCTTCTTTCAATCCTTCACACATTAATGATTTTATATCCTTAGATATATGCCAATATCCACCCAAAATTGTATTTAAACACAAACACATACATAAAAAAAAACAATAAAAAGGATTCTATCTTCATATGGAATAACTATCTTCTGGGCACCAAATAAAAAAAGTAAAAAAGAAACCCTAAAAGAAAAAAATGTGATAAAACCCTAAAAACGGAGAGTCAAGGAGACAAGAGCGGGCAAAGTGGTCGCCGAACAGGCAAGCAATGGGAACTAGCCACGTGGTGGAAGAGGGGGGCCGGGCTGGGTCGGGTCAGGGGGCGAAGATCCGAAGATTCCCGAAGATATTCCTCGGAAGGGAGGGGGGTGACGTCGGCGGTTTGGCTGGATCCCGCAACACACAAACGGATATCCGAAAGCATGTTCTTTACAGTTCTCGAGCCCCGAGAATTAATATCTTCTCTTCCTCCATCCCCGACGCTGCTGCTGCTGCTGCACAGTAATCAATCAATCCTCCTCCAACCCGCCAGCACTCTCCACAGGACCTAACATTCGTCCCCAGGTTGCGCCAGTGGGTCTCGAATCCTGCAACTTGGTAGCAAGCATCCTGTTTGTTTGTTTGTTTGTTTGTTTATCAAGAAAGAAGGAAAGGTCCTCCTCCTCCGCGCAACGCGACACCCGAAAATAATCCTCGCTGTGGGCAAGCAAGAATGAGTGTTGTTGTTATTGCCCATGAGTGTTGGAAGGATGAGAGGGGGGCTTATCCATTGAACTTGGAGATGATCTGGTGGGGGGGTACTTTTGGAGTCTGGTCGCTAAATCTGCGTGGGAGTGACGAACAAAATAATCTGGGAATGGGTCCATGTAGACAGAAAAGGGGGGGCTGGGAACATCGGACTTTCCGGGGGGGGGGGGGGTGCTTGTGCTGGACACGGACGCTGGCTGGCGAGGTCTCTATAATGGCCGCCATGAATGCTGCATCTATTCGTAGTCGGGGCTGCGTGCCAGTGGTCTTTGGAATGGATCGCCCCCTAGCTTCCGGTGTTGCCCCATAACGTGGCTCATGATGTATGATTCCATCATATGCCTGCTTGTGGCAATGCGAGGCGGGGAGCTGATTCGGTTGGAGCTCCGGAAAGAGAATTCCCTCAACTCTTTGCACTTTTGTGTGCCGTTTGTTGGTAGGGACTTAGGGGTCACTCTAGATCAGCCAATGGCGCTTATTCGCCTCCTCCTTCTTCTTCTTCTTCGTCGTCGTCGTCGTCGACTTCTGCGTCTTCTTATTCGCCCTCAGCTCGTGCTTGGTGTATATATTAGTAACGAGGCTGCACGCAGACAACTCCAAGTCATCGATTGGATGCACTCTCTCCCACCAGCACTATCTGCGTTGCAGACGTGGGGGATATTGGAGCTCAAGGAGGCAAACACTTCACCGCTGCTACGGCGCTTTGAAGTCCGTTTTTGATTTTTTGATTTTTTTTTATATACTTATTTTAGAATCTGTCTTCGAGTCCAGGCTTGCCGAAAGAGGGGCAACTCAATGGTCTGTAGGTATGCTGCGGACGCCATGATGCAGCCGCGAGGCTCTCATTTTACGTCTCTCCCCTCGATATCGGCGCTGTTTTCAATAGTAAACAAGTCAGATGAGATCTCCGGTTCGATGATGATGTTCTCTGGAAGAATGTATGCTGCAGA